CCTTATTATGTTTGTTACAATATTAGTAATCAGTCATATTCTGTATGCTATAGTACTCCCCCCATTCTGTATGGCATAGTACTAATGATAGTAATATCCTTATTATGTTTGTTACAGTATTAGTAATCAGTCATATTCTGTATGCTACAGTACTCCCCCCTATTCTGTATAGTATAGTACTAGTGATAGTAATATCCTTATTATGTGTGTTACAATATTAGTAATCAGTCATATTCTGTATGCTATAGTACTCCCCCTATTCTGTATAGTATAGTACTAATGATAGTAATATCTATATTATGTATGTTACAGTATTAGTAATCAGCCATATTCTGTATGTTACAATACTTTTCCCCTATTTTGTATGGTATAGTACTAGTGATAGTAATATCCTTATTATGTTTGTTACAATATTAGTAATCAGTCATATTCTGTATGCTACAGTACTCCCCCCTATTTTGTATAGTATAGTATACATGTAGTACTAGTGATAGTAATATCTTTATTATGTGTGTTACAGTATTAGTAATCAGTCATATTCTATATGCTGCAGTACTCCCCCCTATTCTGTATGGTATAGTACTAGGGATAGTAATATCCTTATTATGTTTGTTACAGTATTAGTAATCAGCCATTTTATGCATGCTACAGTACTTTCTCCCTATCCTGTATGGTAAAGTGGTAATGCTAGTAATATCCATATTATGTATGTTACAATATTAGTAATCAGCCATATTATGTATGCTACAGTATTAGTAATCAGCCATATTCTGTTTGCTACAATACTTTTCCCCTACTCTGTATGGTAAAGTGGTAATGATAGTAATCAGCCATATTCTGTATGCTACAACACTTCCCCCCTATTCTGTATAGTATAGTACTAGTGATAGTAATATCCATATTATGTATGTTACAGTATTAGTAATCAGTCATATTCTGTATGCTACAATACTTCTGCCCTATTCTGTATAGTAAAATAGTAGTGATAGTAATATCGTTAAAAAGTATGTTACAGTATTAGTAATCAGTCATATTCTGTATGCTACATTACTTCCCCCTATTCTTTATGGTAAAGTGGTAATGATAGTAATCAGCCATATTATGTATGTTACCATATTGATAATCAGCCATATTCTGTATGCTAGAGTACTTCTTCCTTCTTCTGTATGGTAAAGTAGTAGTACTAGTAATCTCCCTATTATGAATTTTACAGTACTTATTATGGTACTAGTAATCTCCATACTAGTATTTAGTATGTTACATTACTTGTAGTCTTTCTATTCTTTGTTATAATACTAGTAATCTCCCTATTATGTATTTTACAGTACTGGTAATCTCCCTATTCTTTTTATGGTACTAGTATTCTCCATATTTAGTATGATACATTACTTGTAATCTCCCTATTCTTTGTTACGGTACTAGTAATCACCCTATTATGCATGTTACAGTACTGGTAATCTCCTTATCCTTTGTTATGTACGGTACTAGTCATCTCCCTATTATGTATTTTACAGTACTGGTAATCTCCTTATTCTATGTTATGGCACTAGTAATCTCCTATTATGTATTTTACAGTACTGGTACTGTGCTTTGTATGATAAAGTACTAGAGCCAGTAATCTGCTTATTGTTACATTACTTGTAATATCACTATTATGTATATGCTACAGTATTCATAGTGTGTATGTTACAGTAATAGTGATGTCCCTAATATGTATGTTGAAGTACTTGTAATATTCTCTCTTATGTATGTTACAGCACTTTCATTTTCTATTCTGTGTTGCAGTACTAGTGATGTCCCGTTTTTGTATGTTATAGTACTATTATTCTCCTCTATTATATGTTGCAGTACACACTTTGTACCACTTTAAGATAATTATTAAATACATTGAAATATTAATTTCAGAACCAACCATACTGACCAATACCAATTGCATAACTAGGCGAGTAAGCTTTGCCAACCATATTGACCAATACCAATTTCAGAAATAAGTAAGCTTGATCAAACATATTTACAAACCATTTGCATAAATCAGCGAGTAAGCTTGGCCAACCATACTGACGAACACCATTTGCATAACTAAATGAGTAAGCATGGCTATCAAAATATTGACCATGACCAATTAAATAACTCAGCGAGTTAGCTTGGCAAAACATAATGATCAATACCAATTACATAACTAAGCAAGTAAGTGTGGCCATGCATATTGACCATGTCCAATTGCATAAATCATCGAGTAAGCTTGACCAGCCATGCATAACTAAGCAAGTAAGTGTTGCCATGCATATTGACCATGTCCAATTGCATAAATCAGCGAGTACGCTTGACCAACCATGCATATCTAGATGAGTGCGCTTGGCCAACCATATTTGACCATGCCCAATTGCATAAATCAGTGAGTAAGCTTGACCAACCATACTGACGAACACCATTTGCATAACTAAATGAGTAAGCATGGCTATCAAAATATTGACCATGACCAATTAAATAAATCAGCGAGTTAGCTTGGCAAAACATAATAATCAATACCAATTACATAACTAAGCAAGTAAGTGTGGCCATGCATATTGACCATGTCCAATTGCATAAATCATCGAGTAAGCTTGACCAGCCATGCATAACTAAGCAAGTAAGTGTGGCCATGCATATTGACCATGTCCAATTGCATAAATCAGCGAGTACGCTTGACCAACCATGCATATCTAGACGAGTGCGCTTGGCCAACCATATTTGACCATGCCCAATTGCATAAATCAGTGAGTAAGCTTGACCAACCATGCATAACTAGGTGAGTGAGCTTGGCCAACCATATTGACCAATACCAATTGCATAAATCCATAAATCGGCGAGTAAGCTTGACCAGCCATGCATATCTAGACGAGTGAGCTTTGCCAACCATATTGACCATGTCCAATTGCATAAATCCATAAATCAGCGAGTACGCTTGACCAGCCATGCATATCTAGACGAGTGAGCTTTGCCAACCATATTGACCATGTCCAATTGCATAAATCATTGAGTAAGCTTGACCAACAATGCATAACTAGGTGAGTGAGCTTGGCCAACCATATTGACCAATACCAATTGCATAAATCAGCGAGTGAGCTTGGCCAACCATAATAACCATGACCAATTGCGTAACTCAGTGAGTAAGCTTGACCAATCACACTGACAATAGCAATTGCATAACGAGGTAAGTTTGGCCAACCATATTGACCAAGATCAATTGTGTAACTCAGCGAGTTAGCTTGACCAAAAATATTGACTAATGTCGTTGATTGCGTAACTTAACGAGTTAACTTGGCCAACCATATCTAATCTAATCTAATATTATCACCACTATTCACTGTAGTTCTAATCAAATGATATTATCACCACTATTGACTTTATTAATAATCTAATGATATTATCACCACTATTGACTGTAGTTCTATTCTAATGATAGTACCATCATCATTTATTGCAGTTCTAATCTGATATTATCATCACTTTTAACTGTAATTTTAATCTAATGATAATATCACCACTATTGACTGTAGTTCTAATCGAATAATAATATCACCACTATTGACTGTAGTTCTAATCTAATGATATCACCGCCATTATTTACTGTAGTTCTAATCTAATTATATTATCACCACTATTGACTGTAATTCTAATCTAATTCTAATGATATTATCACCACTATTGACTGTAGTTATAATCTAATGATGTTATCACCACTATTGATTGTAATTCTAATATAATGATATTATCATCACTATTGACTGTAGTTTTAATCGAATGATTATATCACCACTATTGACTGTAGTTCTAATCTAATGATATCACCGCCATTATTTACTGTAGTTCTAATCTAATTATATTATCACCACTATTGACTGTAATTCTAATCTAATTCTAATGATATTATCACCACTATTGACTGTAGCTATAATCTAATATTATCACCACTATTGACTGTAGTTATAATCAAATGATATCACCACTATTGACTGTAATTCTAATGATATTATCACCACTATTGACTGTAGTTATAATCAAATGATATCACCAATATTGACTGTAATTCTAATGATATTATCACCACTATTGACTGTAATTCTAATCTATTGATATTACCATTACCATTTAATGTAGTTATAATCTAATGATATTATCATCACCATTGACTGTAATTCTAAACTAATATTATCACCACTATTGACTGTAATTCTAATCTAATTATATTATCATCACTATTGACTGTAGTTATAATCAAATAATATCATCACCACTATTGACTGTAATTCTAATCTAATGATATTATCACCACTATTGACTGTAGTTCTAATCTAATGATAGTACCATCACCATTTACTGTAGTTATAATCTAATGATATTATCACCACTATTGACTGTAGTTAAAATCAAATAATATTATCACCAGTATTGACTGTAATTCTAATCTAATGATATTATCACCACTATTGACTGTACCAGTAGTTCTAATCAAATGATATTATCACCACTATTGTCTGTAGTTATAATCTGATATTATCACCACTATTGACTGTAGTTATAATATAATGATATTATCAATCACCACTATTGACTGTAATTCTAATCTAATGATATTATCACCACTATTGACTGTAGTTCTAATCTAATGATATTATCACCACTATTGACTGTACTGGTAGTTCTAATCAAATGATATTATCACCACTATTGACTGTAATTCTAATCTAATGATATTATCACCACCATTGACTGTAGTTCTAATTTAATATTATCACCACTATTGACTAATTCAAATGTAATGATATTATCACCATTGTTGAGTGTAGTTATAATCTAATGATATTATCACCACTATTGACTGTAATTCTTATCTAATGATATTATCACCATTGTTGAGTGTAGTTGTATTCAAATGATATACGATTGACTGTAGTTCTAATGATATTATCACCATTTTTTACTGTAGAACTAACGCACATTATTTTTGTTGAATACAGGGTTGAACTGAATCAATGTATGGACTCTGCACACCAGCATAACTTGCCAATGACAAGACACAACCTTCTCAGTATCGGACCCAAGTCATCAGTACGTGACCGAGCCATGAGAGATGTATACTTTGAACGTCGCTAACATGTGAAGACAGAATATATTTCTTAGTGGCATGGAACTTATTATATAAAACGCACTTTTGATTCAGAGCTTGCACAGATTGTTTTAAGAAATGTACATTACCCGGGGTATGCAACATTCAATAAAGTATTCTTATTTCATTGATACCCATTCTCTGAATTATATGTGAAGTGCTAACCTAAATCAGTGCCCAACCTGTGTATTGTTGTGGTGTGAGACATGCATGATATCACGGACACACATATTGAAACCAAGGCCAAGTATGATGTCACGAATCACATAATTAGGTTGAGACTATGGTCAAGTATGATATCACGGAGCACATAGGATGAGACTATGGTCAAGTATGATATCACGGAGCACATAGGTTGAGACTAAGACAAAGTATGATATCACGGAGCACATAGGTTGAGACTAAGACAAAGTATGATATCACGGAGCACATAGGTTGAGACTAAGACAAAGTATGATATCACGGAGCACATAGGATGAGACTATGGTCAAGTATGATATCACGGAGCACATAGGATGAGACTAAGACCAAGTATGATATCACGGAGCACATAGGTTGAGACTATGGTCAAGTATGATATCACGGAGCACATAGGATGAGACTATGGTCAAGTATGATATCACGGAGCACATAGGATGAGACTATGGTCAAGTATGATATCACGGAGCACATAGGATGAGACTATGGTCAAGTATGATATCACGGAGCACATAGGATGAGACTATGGTCAAGTATGATATCACGGAGCACATAGGTTGAGACTAAGACAAAGTATGATATCACGGAGCACATAGGTTGAGACTAAGACCAAGTATGATATCACAGAGCACATAGAATGAGACTATGGTCAAGTATGATATCACGGAGCACATATATTATATTTTTATTA